TTTTGAGATCAGTAGGAACTGAATTCACTTTGAGTCTTTCTTATACTCACGTCTACACGTAAGACCTTTAATAAGTTTTGGCAAGTTTCATTTTTCTCAGAATTTCCTCAGTTCATCTAAAATACCTAATTTATTGATATACAATTATATCATCTTAGTGTCTTAACAACTAGAGTTTGTAATATTAAACCGCAGCTCTGAGACTCAAACTGTTGCAACAGAGCGTTCTCAAAAGGAGTGTCTCTTCAAACATGAGGAATATAAATTTTATAGGGGAATCAAAAAGCAGAGTCCTCATTGCAATTTTAGTGGCTTTGGTCATAAGGTAGATGTTGCACTCTTACAGAAAAGAGTTTGTGATTTGACTCAGGAGGTCCTTGACATCCTGCTCTAGGAGTGACGGACTCACTTAGGGAATTTAGAGGGAGTGAGTATGGCGTAGTGGTTACTTGGGCTGCTAACAATGAGGTTAGCTGTCCGAAACTACCAGACCCTCCTCCGCGGGAGAAAGACCCGGCTTTTATCTACCTTCCCTAAAGAGTTAGTCTTGGAAAACCCGCAGGGGGCGGTTTTACCTTACCCTGTAGGGTGGCTGAGTCGGAACAGGCTCCATGGCAGTGAGTTTCTTGTTTTTGTTATTCTCAGTTATCAGGGTGGACAGTTATCTGCAGTTCCCCCTTTTAAATCCTGACTTCAGGTTTTTGTACTTTTGATCAATTTCATAGATGGTTAACTTCATGTCTTCTTACAAAACAAATTAACAAACACACATTTGGCTTTGTTGATCCACTACACTTTTTCTATTTCATCGATTTCTGTACTTTATTACATTCTTTTTTTTTGTCATCTAAATTTTCGAGATGGCGCGTGGATGGTCTGATTTTGTATATTTTCAGGCTGTGCATTTTTAAGAACTGGTTAAAGTGGACCTTTTGTGGCACGGTAAGCATTCAGCTACTAACCTAGATTGGCAGTTAGAACCCATCAGCTACTCCTTTAAAGCTTAATCTGCAATTATTCTGTAATCTGTTTCCATAAAGTTTACAGCCTTGGGGACCTTTCATAATAGTTCTACTTTGTCTTAAGGAGCCTTATTGGTCTGTGTTGGACTGCTAACCCCAAGGGCAGCAGAAACCAGCCTCTCGGCAGAAGAAAGAGACTGTACAGTTAGTCTTCGAAACTCACAGGAGCAGCTCTGCCCTGTCCTATGGGGTCACCATGAATTGGAATTGATGGCAGTTTTTGGTTTTCTCTCACTTATAAGGTCACTATGAGTTGGAATCAACTCAATGCTAATGGATTTATTTTTAATTGTTTCGTCTACATTCTTCCAGCTTTGATAAGTATTTTCATTATCATCCACTTCCAAGTATTTTCTTCTTTGATTTTAGATGTATTTTACATTTCCACATAATGGGAAGATGCTAAATATTTTAAAATTTATTTTCTAGTTTAACTGCATGATCACAGAATATATTCTGCAGGATTCCAATCGTTTGAACTTTGTTAAGGTTTACTGTATGGCTCAGTATCTTATTTTCTTCAAAATATTTTATGTGTGCTTGAATAAAGCATACAAAGGAACTTGAAAAGCCCATTAAAACTGGAATTTATGCGAAGGCAAGGTTTCTATGGCTTTAAAAAAGCCCCCTCAAGTATCTTGTTCATCATATTGTTTGAGTAAGCATCTTTATTATATATGTGTGTGTACATTTTTTCCTTTTGGTCTGCTCCTATTAGCTAGTGAGAGATGTCAAAACTCTCATCATGATTGTGGATTTGTGTTTTTCTTTTTAAAAAAACTCCTGTGTTTTGAGTTAATTTACAGAGCAAATTAGTTTTCCATTTAAAATTACACATGGATTTTGTTTTGTGATGTTGATTGCAGCCCCCATAATGTAACAGCATTCTTCTCACAATATTTATTCTATAAAAATTTAGCCATATTTTTAACTATATTAGACATTACCTTAAAACTCTTTCCAGTATTTTCCTTTCCCTGAATGTGTTAAAACAATAAACCCCTTTATCTCTAGGAATAGTTGGTGCTTTAAACTATTTTTTGTCTAATATTGAGCTACTCTAGTTTTCTATTGGTTACTATTATGGTGTCTTCCTATCTTTTACTTTCAAACTCTGCCTTTATCTCTTGTAAAGCTGTATATATTGGGGTTTTGTACTCTTGTAGGAATCAGTGTATGGCACAAATGGGTAAAAGCTGAAAGATTGTTGAGTCAAGTTTACCCAGAGGTACCTTGGAAGAAATAACTAGTAATCAACCCGGGGAGGGCGGGGGGTGGGGGATGGGTTTATCAGCCACTGAAAACACTTTGGGGTGCAACTCTACTCTGAAGCAGTTTCCTAGATTCCAAATCTTCTCACCAGCAACTGGTATTCTTTTGTTTTTTGTACTTTTGTCCTGTCAATCTTTGCCATTTAATAAAAATTACATTTGATGGAAATATTATTTTGGCTTAAGAGCTACCATCTTTGTCTTATCAGCTTCTTTTTATCTTAAAAATAATTTACGTCTGCTACTACTTAACTTATATTCTTTGTGATGACTCTAGATTTGATTACACGAAATTTGTCAAAACCTTTCCCACCACAGAAAAATACAGAAACTTTAGAATATCACAAACCTATTTACTTTCTTGATTCACATATTTTAAGTCTACTTTACCAGCTCTATGTTGCTGCATATAAAACGTTCAGGTGCATTTGTGCATTTTTCCATCTCTGAATCACTTTGTCAGCTTTTATACCCATAGTTTTTGGAACTCCCACCAAATGACTGTAGTAGTACATAAGGGGTACAAGATTTGAACTCAGGGATTGGTCAGTTTTGCCATTTTACTGGGTTGCATAGGCCTTCTCAAAGCAGACCCGTGACCACCCAGAAAGAAGAGCCACCAACAGAGAATGTGTGAGGACTAGAGACATGCCTGCCAGCATAGCTAAGAGGCATTGTGGGAAAAGTACAGACTTGTATTTTTTAATAGTTCTGGAAAATTCTCAGCCCCATTCTGTCTGCTCCAAGATTGATCAAGTATATTTAACACTTTTAAATGATGCCTTGAAATTTTTTTTTTTAAATGTGGAGCTTCTATTTTTTTATTTCCTATTCAATTTAGAATGTTTTAAGCATGAGTATACTTGATATACTAAATTGTGTCTGTTCTTTTCTGCTTTTTATTCATGCTACCATTTTTACTTTGACTGCTTGTCAATCATAGTACCTGAAAACATTATGGGTTGGTTACCTGAAGCAAATCCTTGCAAGTTTTTGTTCTCTATTGCCAGGTCCAGGTCGTATAAGGGCTGTCCAGAGCCATAACTTGTCAAATACATACAATTATTAATATATAATTATACACATTAATACAATATGCAATTGTATTTATACTATATATAAAATTATTTCCCCCCTACTGCTTCGCTCAGTAACAAGACAGTGGTCTTTACAGGGCCTTGGAGTTAGGGAAGAGCAGTAGGTTTGGATCCAGTTTATTTTATAGTAAGTGTATAGTTCTTTCAGAGCTAGTTTAACTTAGTAAAAGTTTCCCGAATCTCTACCAGGGTATACTGGTCCTAACTTTCTATCCTTGTCACCCCTGTAGCTGGTAAATTGGCACTCAACTGTGGTGTTCAGCTCTCTGATCACAGGACTCTATTCTAGAATTACTACTCTAGGATTACCAAGTGTTTTCAACCTCAATATATTCTTGGAAGGGCCATCTAAGCCATTGTCATTGGTTTTGGTAACAAAAATTTCCAAATCTAGCGTGACATTATTAGTTTTTACCCACATTTTTCTCCTTTCTAGCCTTTATTATTGCTCTTAACATCATCATATTATGTTAATAAAGTCTAGCTGTAACTATTATCTTGAACCTCTTCCCAGCTAATGCACTCTGACCACTTTCATGCATCTTTCAATTTATCTAATGTCAAACATTCCAATTCTATTTTTAGCCCTATGAACTAGATTATTGGATTTTTACACAATGTTTGATTTACATGCATTTTTCATTTATTATTCTTCTGGAAGCTGAAGGCGTGGCGTGGGGGGTGGAGAACCAGCTTGAGCCCAGATCATTGGATTCATGCCATAATGTCTACCTGTGGCAGTTTGAGATCCAGACTTCTTAATGTCTTGGATCAGCCCAAAGGGCATGTATAAGGCTCTGGGTCTTCAGGGGCTCTTTGCACAGCGCGTAGTAGCACAATGAATCTTCATTTGGGTGGTGATTATTCTTTAACTCTTTAACATGTCTTCCCCAAAACTATGTTGTGTATTAGGTCAAGATGGAGTTCAAGTACACATGTATGCAGGACTTCAAGCCAATGCCACATCAATCTCACATCTGGCTCATGTGGGCATATGAAAATTTCAGGCAACCTGATGTTGACATCCGAGCGGATCTCATCTTTAGTAAATGAAAAATCAATCTGGGCATTACAGACCACAGGAAATTTATGTAGAGAAGAACAAAGAGCAAGTAAGTCACAAAACCCCAAAGTGGAGCCACAGGAATGCTCTTTTCTTCTGCTTTCCCTACTTCTGCCTCCTTTCCCCTACTCACCTTACTTATGTATCAACAATACTAAACTGGATCCAGAGCATTCTTGGACAGGTTACTTAACCTTAAAAAGAGTCTCCTTTCTATACTTTGAATTAGTCAGCAGCTTCTATCTGTTTTGTCAGAAATAGTTTTTGTGGGGTCAGAAATAGTTTCTGTGGGATGACTGATCACGCACACAGCCTGTGCACCCGCCCATTCTACCTCCAGGCCTTATAATCCAATTCAAGTAGGAGAATGACACTGCTTAGAAGGGGCCTGATCAAGTGTGCTTCACATGACTCTTAAACTACTAATAGCCCCATGGATGATACCTTGCTACCTTCTCTGATGTGGAGCTAGTATTAACACTCAGAAAGAGGATACCCTGAATGACTTTCTCTAAACACTACTAAATCTAATGTAAGCCATAGTCTGTTTACACTTGAGGAATTTCTTTATTGGGAGTTCCACATTACCTCATCATAATTTGCTGGCCTTTATGACAGAGAGTAATCCTTGTCAGAGAATTATAACATTTTACAACAGACAAAATACATATGCAGTGCATAAAATCCTCACAATAACACATTACAAAACAAACATTTAACAGTATTATTTATGAAGCATAAATTTAATCAATGGTAGCTACTTAGTTTAACTCCTGCAATGAAATGCCCTCCTTCCCAGCATATTTATTCACAAAAATCCCTGAATCAATTCTTCCTATCGCGTAAGGTGCAAATCATGTAGAAGATGAATCCCATATTTATTGAATGTGCTGAAATGCAACATACAATGGAACCTCTAATTATAGCATGAATACAGCTTTTAAGTCTTTCACCTTCATTACATATTCATCATCATTTGAGGGGGGTCAGTTTCTAAAATGTCCAATCATAGTGTTTAAGTCTAACACTATTTCCTCGTAATTTTATGTCTACACTTTTTTTTTCTTATAATGAAATCCAAATTTTGTTTCACAAGTTGTCATCACCCTTAAATCATACTTCATGATCACTATTATATACCCTGAAACTGGTCCTGCCCTGAATTTGCCTTTTGGGGACCCTTCTTGGACTTTTCCACTGACCAATATATAATTAAGATTCAAAGCAATACCTAAATTGACTACATTTCTATTCACAAAATGTACCCAAATATGAAATTTCTGATAGCAATTATGTGATTCCCAATTCAAGTCCTTTTCTTATCCATGGGTTTTCTTCAATATCCAGAAATGTCTCTGCTTATTTTGAAGACTCTCTTCATACACCACCACCTTGAGATATTGTATCCTCATTATGAACTATTTTGTATTCCATAAAGGCTCAATTATCTTTACAGTGAGGAGCCTTTCTCATTGACTATGACTAAGAATTACATTGAAAAGAATACTCACAATCATCTAGAATTTCCTTTAGACAATGTAAATTATAAGTCAAAAGTAAGGATATTAGACATTCTTCCATTTTTAAGGTTTTCTTCTTCTTTGAGCTCTTTGAGACTTGTTAAGCTCTGGCTTCTACAGACATCCTTATACTGGTCCCATCCAGAAATTCCCTCCATCGAGGGGTCCCATTTGTGATGTGTTATAATGACTTCCCACATATATCACATTTAAAGATTCCACACCACTATGGGTCCTTTTATGTTTGTTAAGATTTGATCTGATATTAAAAACCTTCCCACACTCACTACATCTGTATGGCTTCTTTCCAGTGTGGATCCTTTTGTGTTGGTCAAGGACAGATCTGTAATTGAAGGATTTCCCACACTCACAATTATACGGTTGCTTCCCTCGGTGGACACCTTTATGGTTGATAAGACTCGAGTGTGAGATGTATGCCTTACCACACTCATCACATTCATAGGGTTTCTCGCCTGTATGAATCCTTTTGTGCACTGTCAGGCCTGAGCTGTTCCTGAAGGCCTTCCCACACCAATCACAGATATAGGGCTTCTCCCCTGTGTGGATCCTCTTGTGTTGAGAAAGGAGTGAGCTGTAACTGAAAGATTTTCCACATTCAACACATTTAAAGGGTTTCTCCCCAAGATGGACTCTTTTATGGCTTAGAAGAGTTCGACTTGAGAAAAAAGCTTTTCCACATTCATCACATGTAAAGGGTGTCTTGCCAGGGTGGGTACTTTTGTGGTTAATAAGGCTTGAGTGTGAGATGTAGGCTTTTCCACACACATCACATTCATAGGGCTTCTCTCCAGTATGGATTCTTTTGTGTACTTTAAGGCTTGAGTTGTTTCTGAAGACCTTCTCACATCTGTCACACTCAAACGGCTTCTCTCTAGTGTGGACCCTTTTATGCTGAGAAAGGAGTGAGGTGTAATTAAAAGATTTCTCACAAACGTCACATTTGAAGGGCTTTTCCCCAAGATGAATTTTTTTGTGGTTCACTAGGGTTCGGTATGTGATGAAGGCCTTCTCACACTCATCACACTTGTAGGGCTTCTCCCCAGGATGCACACTTTTATGATTTATAAGGCTTGAAAGTGAGATGTAAGCTTTCCCACACTCTTCACATTTGTAAGGTCTCTCCCCTGTGTGGATTCGTTTGTGTACTTTAAGGCCCGAATTATTTCTGAAGGCTTTTCCACACTCATTACATCCAAAGGGTTTCTCCCTTGTATGAATCCTTTTATGTTGTTCAAGGGCAGAGCTGTAATTGAAGGATTTCTCACAATAGCTGCATTTATAGGGCTTCTCTCCAAGATGGATTCCTTTGTGATTTTTAAGGCTAGAGCGTGAGATATAGGCTTTCCCACACACCTCACATTTATAAGGTTTTTCGCCAGTATGAATCCTTCTGTGGACTTTGAGGCCTGAATTGTTTCTAAAGGTTTTCCCACACACATCACATACAAAAGGTCTCTCTCCAGTGTGAATGGTTCTATGTTGAAGAAGAAGTGAGTTATAACTGAAGGATTTTCCACACTCCTTACATTCATGAGCTTTTTTCCCGGGGTGAATGCTCTTATGTACTGCGAGGCCTGAGCTATAGCTGAATGCTTTGCCACAGACATCACACTTATAAGGTTTCTCTCCTGTGTGGATCCTTTTATGCACTATAAGGCCTGAGCTGTTTCTGAAGGCCTTTCCACATTCATCACATTCATATGGTTTCTCTCCAGTGTGGATGACTTTATGTTGAATAAGGAGAGAACTATAATTAAAAGATTTCTCACACTCATCACATTTATAGGGTTTATCTCCAAAGTGGATGCTCTTATGGTTTAGAAGTGTTCTGCAAGTAATGAAGGCCTTCCCACATTGATCACATTCATAGGGCTTCTCACCTGTGTGGATCCTTTTGTGGACCCTAAGACCAGAGCTATTACTGAAGGTCTTCCCACAAATGTCGCATTCATAGGGCTTCTCCCCTGTGTGGATCCTTTTGTGGACTCTGAGACCAGAACTGTTCCTAAATGCCTTCCCACATTCACCACATTCATAGGGCTTCTCCCCAGTGTGAATTCTTTTATGTTGGTCCAACACAGAGCTATAATTGAAGGATTTTCCACACTCATCACACTTACAGTTCTTCTCTCCAGAATGGGTACTTTTGTGGTTTATAAGGCTGGAGTAAGACATGTAGGCTTTTCCACATTCTTCACACTTGTATGGTTTCTCCCCAGTATGGATCCGTTTGTGGACTCGAAGGCTTGAGCTGCTCCGAAATGTCCCTCCACAGTCATCACACTCATAGCGCTTTTCCCCAGTGTGCATAATTTTATGTTGAACTAGGCGGGAATTATATTTGAAGGATTTCCCACATTCATCACATTTGTGTGATTTCTGAACAGCACGGGTTTTCTGTTGTAGATTGGGGTGAGAGTGTCCATTAATGTCCATACATTTGCTTTGCTCGATGTTCTTCTGTTCTATACAGATAGTCTTATGTGTAACATGTTTTGAGGTCAAATGTAAGCTGTTTTCAAATGCCTCATTTTCCTGTTTTATAATTATATTTGCTGTGTTATTGGCTTTGTCAATCTTTTCCTCAGTGTCACTTTTCTCTTCCTTCACTCTTTTCCCTTCATACTTTTCCAAACGATTCTCTACCATGCTATCCAAATCACAAGCTTCATCAAATTTAGATTCCCGCACATAATCCTTGTGAAGACCTTCCATTTTTTGCCACTTGAATTCTGCATTTCCAAAATTTTCATATTTTTCAGTTGATCCATCCTCTTCAGTACTCTTCGCCTTCAAATGTAACACTAAACCAAGAAAACAAAGAAGAAATTAGAAGAATTGTATCAAAACGAATTCATTTACTTAACAAATATTTACTGAATACAAGCTGTGTAATATCTGGACACACAAAAATTTCTGCCTCTGTAGATAAAGTGTTAAAATGCTAGAGCCTTGAATTTTCAATGGAGCAAAGAACTTTTCTATTCTTGCACACTTTAACATGAAGATGAGTTAAAAATGGGTTGAAATCATGCACAGAACTAAGATGAAACATTGATCAGTTTTCTAACAATGCCATTCAGTTAAGGAAAACAGACAGAGGTAAAAGGAATCAATTAATTAGTAGAACAACAACAACAACAAAATGTAAGCTTAAAGAAGAGGAAAAACGAGTTCTGAGTAGAGATTTCAAAGATGTTGTTAGGAAATCATGAGGATGCAATATCAGAGATGAGTGGGGGGCAGCAGCAGGGACAAGTTGCAGCTACTTGGAGTTGATCTGGCCTTCTGATTTTCATCTACAAGTAAAACATTGACCCTAAAGTGGGCAATCCCCACATGTCATCAGATAAACTGCATATAGCTAGCCAAGATTATTATGGAAAAATACAATCAACAAAAAGATGTAATACTTCTTATATAGCATATACATATATCTTCAAGTAGATAATATTTTCTTGTATAGTCTTGAGAAAGTTACTTAACCTTTTTGTGCCATTTCCACATCTAAAAAATAAGGAAAATACAGAGGTTGCTAGTATTAAATGGTATAACATATAAAGCATTTTTTAAAATGCCAGTCCATCAATGAATGCTACATAAATGTTATTGACTTTACTGTTAGTATTTTAGCATAATTATTACAACTAATTATACTGGACAAGGTTGGAACCTGGGAGTAAAGCACAAGACTCATGGAAGGTAACCTACTTTCCAAAGCAGGAGGTATTAGGTCCCAAGCTCTTTGTTCACAGGACACCTGTAATCACTTTACACAGAATTCGAACTCTATCAGCAACTAGTAATACACAGACTGATCCAGAGAAAAAAGGAAACACTTTTAAGCCACTAATCCTTCCAGCCTTAGATGACTTGACATCTATGATTACACTTAGTTAAGATCTGCATCGGTATCAAATTCTCTTGTCAGGATTCTGCAATCTTGCCAAACCTATTTAGAAACCTTATATGTGGATATGTAAAGAGGGATCAGTGGCAATAAAAGACAATGAAGATATATGAGTAAACATATAAAAAGAATACACTCACAATCCAACTTCTGTTTATGGAAAAGATAAACTTTGAAATAAAATTGGTAAGCAGGCCAGGAATTCAGAGTATCACTACTCAGGGAAAAAAGCACTACTCAGCATATACTTAATAATAAATTTTTTTAAGATAGCTCAGCTGAGAAAGCTTCACAAAACATATATATTTTAATTACAGATTATCAGATGTCAAGGCAGAGTCCTAGTATACCCTAGTTTACCTACATCCCTTTCATTGTAACTTTGGGCACAGAAGTCCATGCCAGTTTAAAAGTGAGGGTAACTGGGTTGGCAGAAGAATTCCAACCATCAACAAACACCACACCACATCTCTGTGCTTGCAATCCTGGTCCCATATCACATTAGAAGCTTTCCATCCATTTCCCTTTTGCTCTTGGTCCTTCCACCTCTATTGGCTCTCAGTCCTAAGGACAGAAAGATGATCTCTCTCTCTCTCTCTCTCTCTCTCTCTCGCACACGCACACACACAAATTTGCTAAGGAAAAAGGAGTGTGTGTGTGAACACTCGCCATACCAGATAAAATATACTACAAAGCCCCTATAGCTAAAATAATGTGTACTGATGTTTACATAAATAGACTAGTGGAGTAGAAAAGAAAGTCCAGAAATAGAACCAACTACATATATAAAAATCAATATTCTGATAAAGATGGTAACTCAAATTAATGGGGCAAGGATAAGTATTTTTAATAGTGTTGAAACAAGTATAATGCCATTTGAGAAAAGATATTCCTTATGCCTTACAAAGGACTAAATTCCAAATGAATCAGGGATCTAAATATAAAATAGTGAAATTATACAGATCTAGAAGAAAATATGGATGAATGTTTATTTAACTTGGATAAAGAAAAAAGCTATATAACACGTGCAATAAAAAAAATTGATAAATTTGACTATAAGAAGCTCATAGAGAAAAAAAAAACCATAAGCAAAATTAAGAGACAAATAATAAGAGGAAGAAAGTATTTGTAACACACTTCACATATAATATCCATAATAAATTAACATTTTTTAAATGGAAGAAAAACAGAATGGACAAAAATCAAATAGATGAGTCACAAAAAGAAATATTAAAATGGCGCTTAAACATGTGAAAAGATATTCAACTACACTCATAAGAGAAATGCAAAGTAGAACTGTGCTAAAGTACCATTTCTCTATCCGATTAGCAAGTGCTCCACGTTTAATAATACATTCTGTTAGTGAGACTGTGGGGAAGCAGGAACTCTCAAAAATTGTTGGGACTGCCACAATCAGCACAATCCTTGTTGTAGGGAACTTACCAACATCTAACAATGCTATCTATGGATTTAATCTTTGTCACAGAAATCCTACTTCTGGGATTTTTTACTGAAGATAAAAATCCAGATGTGCAGAGGTATTCATTGTAGCATTGTTTCTAATCCCCAAATCTTTTAAAGATTATCTATATGCTCAAGCTTTAAGATTGGCTGACTAAACTATGGCACTTCTATACAAATAAGTATATAAAAAAGCAACAAATGGGATCTCCAAAGGTTATGAATTTCCAGAATGTTTTGTAAAACAGAAAAGGTAAAGCAAAAGAGAGCATACATACTACAATTTCTGTACATAAGAAGGCAAAGAAAACCTTCATATATTTGTTTCACTTTACAGTAAGGCTAAACCAGAAAACAATAAAGTTCCCTACCTACAAGAATTGGGTATTGGGGTACACAGGAGTGAGAGACTGTCTTGAGTTACAGGTATGTGGCATCTAAGACCCACTCTGGGAAAACTGGAACACTATGTATGTCCACAGAACAAGGAAGAGTGACGTGCTTGAAGGGTACCAAGACACAGAATGGCATCAAGTTTAACTCATGGCCACTCTGCTTGACTTTCAGTGATTACCAGTGTGGTCTCAGTTGTTAGCTGCAGCAGTGGCTCCTGCAGTTGCTGATGGTACATGCCCACCACAACCACATCCCTGAGCTGTAGCTATTCTGCTCCCTGAGGACTCCCAATTCTGGGACTCCCAGGAGCCAGTGCTGCACATTCAGAAGCAGCCAACTGCAGGTGCAAGTTTGCAAACCCAGAAGTTCCAGGTGCTAACGGAAAGCCAGGACAACTTTTGCAGGGTTACTTTAATATACATTTATCTATACAGATAAACATACAAGGGACTTCAAGAAATTAATGAGAAAATTCCATTACCTTTGTATTCTATTTTTCCAAAAACTTCTCAAAACCCCCTTACATGTACTATTTATAATGTGTTTGTACCATGTCTAAATCACATAAAGTTATAGAACATATGGTGGGACATTAGTGATGCATATCTATATGTAGCTTTTCGTAGAGCTTTTACCTATAAAATCATGATAATGTTCTGCACATTCAGAAAATACAATTACAGCAATAAAGCTGGGAATGTGCTGGGGGGTTGGGGTGGGGGTAGAGTAAGGGTGCATGTGAGGAGTGGGGCAAAAGTAAAGCAGAAAGCAAACAGAAAATAAATGAATAGTACTATTAGGAGAAAAATGTGTTTCACATGAATAGTACTATTAGGAGAAAAAAATGAAGAAAAATCCAAGTAATTTAGGAATACCAATATTTGATTACATACTCCATACTTGGGAAGGCTTGTGGATGTGGTGGGTGAGATATGGGGTGGGGAAGAAGAAAATCCTGTACTCTGTATGCATGTATTGTGATAAGAGCTGCATGAGTCCCCAATAAAATGATTTTTTTTTAAAAGAAAGAAAATCCTGTACTCTTTTCAGTAGGTTTGTTTTCTGCAGTGGTATAAACAAAGCAATTTTAAATGTACCATTGGAGTAAGTGAGTAAATGTGTGGATATTGTTGGAAGCAAGGGTACTCCAAGGAGTCCTGTTGGCATAGTGGTTACGCATCGGGCTAACTGCAAGATCAGCAGTTCAAAACCACTATCTACTCAGAAGGAGAAAGATGAGGCTTTCTACTCTTATAAAGAGTTATAGTTTTGGGAACCTACAAGGGCACTTTTACCCTGTCCTATAGACTCGCTATGAGTCATAATTGACTTAGGGCAGTGAGTTTTTGTTGGTTTTTGGCAACCATTCTCATCATTTTCTTTAACATATGCTCACTACCTGTTCCATCCTCTCAATCTAATTTTTGAGCTGCTGTCAATTTGATCCCCATATAACCAAAGGCAAACCCACTGCCATAAAGTGGATCCTGACTCATAGCAACCCTGTAAGGGCAGAGTAGAACAGCTCTCTAGGATTCTGATGTTATAAATCTTTAAGAGAAAAAAAATCATGGGAGCAAAAAGAGTTATATTTCTCCCATGGCACAGAATGTGGGTTTAAACCACTGACCTTGCAGATAGCAGCCCAATATGTAACCCACAATGCCACCAGGATCCCTTAAAAAAATTAAGAATACAATGCTCAAGGTCAACATTTTACTAGTTAAGCTACACTACTATTTGAAGTTTCAATTTCTTAAAAGTTCTAAAGACTGGATGGATGCCAATCATTGAATACCCACCCACTCCTTCCAAATTAAATAGGACCCTGAACCTCCAAGAACCTCTGTGCTTTTTGTTCATGTTCTGTCATCAATTCCTAGAAACGCACTTGACATACAACTATCAGAAACAGTATTTCTACTAAAACCATAGAAACATTTATTGAGCAAAAATAACCAAGCATAAAGTCGTTGCTTCTCAACATATCCTCTATCTAGCTCTATTCGTGCCAGAAAATCTTTATAACTCTTCCCTGAAGAATGCCAAAATGGCATTTTTGGCATCCTGAAGGAATTCAAAGTGTGTTCCTTTGAAATGCTCTTGGAATACTGGTAACTAAATAAAAGAAGCAATCTGAAGGGGCAAGATCAGGCTGTCGGACGGAATGGGGGAAATTCTTATAGGACAGCCCTTGCTCCCACTGAAGACACAGTGGGTCCACTGCCTGGGTGCAACTTTTCTGGCCTCTTTTGCATCAAGACTTTTCACTTTCTTAAAACTTCTTCATAATATGCTCATGCAGTGTTTTGAGAAAATCTATCAAAATTATCCCCTAAGAACACCCCCAAATCAGTCACAATAACCTTGTAAGCTGGCCTCTTTGCTTTGAATTTAACTGGTCCAGCAGATCCCCTCAGATCCAGTTTTGATTAGACTTTTTTTGGATGGCATCCCTAATAAGACAGTATATGACTGAGAGAACTTGTCTGCGTCCATCTATTGTATGCAAAGACAAGTGTAAACAAATCTTGTTTGGAACAAACCTGTGGGTGGATGAACTGGAACCCTATTAGCAAGACTTTTGGACTTACCCTTGTATAAAAAGATCCTGTCCCTAATCCTTACTATTCCTACCCAAGTATGGCAGGGCTTAGAAAAATTAGGAGAAGGGACTATAGTGTACTCTGGCTGAGATTTCTAATTAACACACTATGTTAATACATAAAGTCCCCACAAGTCAAAGCCAACTCAAATTTCATTAACAACAACTGTTTGGTGCTAAAAGCCAGGAGCTACTTTGGATTTCCAAAGTATAGACCATATTCTCATTTGCTGATGTAGACCAAGGATTGCTCGTCTTCAATGCAGATTAGAACTCAATGTAAAGAAAACAAAAATCTTCATAATTGGACCAATAAGTAACATCTTGACAAAATGAAAAAAGGCTGAAGTTGTCAATGATTTTATCTTGGTTGGCTCCACAGTCAATGCTCATGGAAGTAGCAGTCAAGAGATCAAACAATGCATTGGGTAAATTCGCTGCCCAAGATTGCTTAAACTGCTGAAGAGCACGTATGTTACTTTGAGGACTAAGGTGTGCCTGACCTAAGCCATGGTATTAATTGCAAAAAGAGCAAATAGATCTGACTGGGAAGAAGTACAGCCAGAATGTTCCTTAGAAGCAACGTAGTGAGCCTTCACTTTACCTACTTTGGACCTGTTGCCAGGAGAGACCATTCCTGAAAAAGGACATCGTGCTAGGTCTAGCTAGGTAACGTAGATAAAATAGAATGACAGAAGAAAATGTTAAGACCTTTGACAAGATGGACTGACCCAGTAGCTGCAACAATGGGCTCAAGTATAACAACTGTGAAGATGATGCAAGACCAGGTGGTGTTTCATTCTATCAGACATCAGGTTGCTGCGAGTGGGACTTGATAACACAGAGACCATATTCTACACGTCAATCTACCATCTCGTCACAATTGGAATCTATGCTGAGTGTTCTTGGAGGTTATATATGACTTGGAGATAAACTTGAGAAAGAAAAAGAGAAAACAAGCGGGAGTGTGACAACAAAAAAATTACCAATTAATACAAAGGAGAATTTCGGCAGGACAATGAGACAAATAAAAGATGGGACTAATGTGAAGTAAAACTTTTCTCAGAAGTGTTCTGCAGAAAGGAAAAATGAAGATGGTTAGTGCTTTAGTTGTATTTAATTTATAAAAATCCAAACTGTAAATGAGTAACATGAGTTCGTTCTACTACTTAAAATAAATTCTAAAAAGGAATTAACTGTGATTCTCCCCCCTCCCCCTTAAAGTAGTGACTGTAATAAAACATTCTCCATGCCTTGTAGTGGAAATGTTCTAGTTATCCTGAATTAAAAGGATTCTGAAAAAGCTGAGAAATTTTCTGAAGCTAAAGGACTGGGGACTGATTTGAAAAGTCTTTGATAACATCAGTCTATTAAGCTAGTGTAAGAATACGCATCATACTGGTGCCCAGCTATCAAAGGATATAGCGTTTGGGGTCTTAAAAGCTTGAAGGTAAACAAGCGGCCATCTAGCTCAGAAGCAACAAAGCCCACATGGAAGAACACATCAGCCTGCGTGATCACGAGGTGCTGAAGGGATCAGTTATCTGGCGTCAAAGAACAAAAAATCATATCATTGTGTGCTCACCTCCATGATATGATCGCTGAAGACAAATGGGTGCATAAGCAAATGTGGCAAAAAAAGCTGATGGTGCCCGGCTACCAAAAGGTATAGCGTCTGGGGTCTTAAAGGCTTGAAGGTAAACAAGCGGCCATCTAGCTCAGAAGCAACAAAGCCCACATGGAAGAAGCACACCAGTCTGTGCAACCACGAGGTGTCGAAAGGATCAGGTGTAAGGCATCATCAGAACAAAAACTCTTACCATTGTGAATGATGGGGGGAGTGTGGAGTGGAAACCCAAAGCCCATTAGTAGGCCACTGGAAATCCCCTTGCAGAGGGGTCTAGGGGAAGAGACGAGCCAGACAGGGTGCAAAGTAGCAATGATGAAAAATACAACTTTCCTCTAGTTTCTAAATGCTCCCCCCCCCCCCCACACACACACACACACACACATACTATCATGATCCGAACTCTACCTTGCAAGTCTGGCTAGACCAGAGCATATACACTGGTACAGATAGGAACTGGAAACACAGGGAATCTGGGGCGGACGATCCCTTCAGGACCAGTGGTGTGAGTGGCGATACTTGGAGGGTAGAGGGAGAGTGGGTTGGAAAGAGGGAACCAATTACAAGGATCTATATGTGACCTCCCTGGAGGACGGACAACAGAAAAGTGGGTGAAGGGAGACATTGGACAGGGCAAGATATGACAAAATAATAATTTATAAATTATCAAGGGCTCATGAGAGATGGGGGTACTGGGGAGGGAGGGGGAAAAATGAGGACCCGATGCCGGGGGCTTAAGTGGAGAGCAAATGTTTTGAGAATGACAAGGGCAATGAATGTACAAATGTGCTTTACACGATTGATGTATGTATGGATTGTGATAAGAGTCATATGAACCCCTAACAAAACAATTTAAAAAAAAAGAATACGCATCACAGACAAATCTCAGGAAGGTAAAGCCACTTAGTTTGATGTGTTGATTAAACACTCTCCACAAGTTATTTGCAATAATGATTTGGCATATTTAACAATCTACCAATAACTGACTGAGTTAATGTAAAACAAAAAACCATTATTTTATGACTCAGTCCTTTTCTGAAAAACATTTGCTTGGAATCCCCTCTGACCATATTCCAGGGATGTGAGTGGCCTGCTAACAAAGAGCCTTGTACACTGGGTTAGGCAGCTGTAGTTAGGTTAAAATGTAACTCCTTATCTTTGGATCTCCCTTTTGACCTCTTAAAGTTGTTGTCTTTTTTTTACTATTTCCTGCTTTCTTTTCACTGGAGGTGTTCCTCTGTTCTGTCGGTGTTGGTGTTTTCTGTTTGTTTCTTGTTTGTATTTTGTAATGATTTTCTGTATATAAAATCCAAGATGGGTAAATCTAAGGAGGCAGTACATAGATTACGTAATAATGACCTCGGAGCATGGCAGGGAAAATGGGCAGTTAACCACAGCATGTGTAAGAAGAAAATCTCTGAAGTTGATTGTGGTGATGATTGCACACGTCTTCTAAAGGAGACTTAACTGTTAAATTGTAGAGGCAAATTACATGCCAATAAAACTTAAAAAGAAACCTTTGCTCAGTTATAGCCTACTAAAATGTCAGAGTGCTTACTTGCTTAAAGTTGCAGACAACTGGGCAAAAGAACAATGTCTCCGAAAAGATCAAACTGTGCTATATGTAGAATATCGAAAAATCCAAATAAGACCAACCCAGTATCAATGCATGCAAGGACACACACACACACACACACACACACACACACGCACGAGCAAGCTTTCTATGTTCTGAAATGCAAAACTCTTGAAGGTTTAGTAAGTAAAATAAGCCAGGAGCAGGAGGGAGTAACTACATTCATATTTACCAACATTTGCATACAAAGATACCACGGAGTGCTAAATTTGGTAAAACACGGTCCAAAGGTGGGGCCTAGAAAAAGGTCAATTCGAAGTGAAGGGGTGCCTTTTAACTGGCAGCTTCTACTTTTAATATTGTTATTATATGCACGTACTGTATATTCAGGGGGGGGAAGTTCACCATAAAAGCGTCATCGTTACAAAAAGCAAACACTCCTGGTGGTTACCAAGCCTCGGAGCAGCGCACAGTCTGGCCGCTGGGATGAGCTCCTGGAACCTGCACGATCTTGCTCTGCCTACCTGCTCACCCTGCAGGGGCTCTCGGCAGGCCATCTCTGCGGGGAGCACCCATGGCGCCAGGGCGGAGCAGTGTCCCCCTAGGGTTCGATCTACATTTGCACCAGTAATATCTCAACACCTGCCATCCCCCCAAAAAAGGGGCGCGGAGGAGCGGGCCGTTCGGCTCACCCCTAGCGCTGTGATCAAGCGGTCCCTCGAGTGCTCTCGAGACCCAGGGCCAACCGGCCGTGACAGGAGATTATCTTACGACGCTAGTTTCCGGAGTTTTCCTCAGGCCCGAGGGCGCTTACACTAGTTGAGGGAGACAGCGGCGACGTCCTGCCCCTTCTCAGCCGCTGAGCTGACCCGAGGGGGTGAACCCCGAGAACCCGTCGGCTTCCCGGGTACGCACCTACCCGCCGCGGCCGGCCGGAGGGTCCTCCCTTCCCTCTCCCCGCCCGGAACGCACCTCCGGAGGTGTGTGTGTGGGGAACGCACTTCCGCCCAGGTCCCGCCCGAGGCCCGAGGGGCAGCCGCGACCCCACTAAGAAGGGAAGAGCCAGGCAAGCGGGGGACGGGAACGGGAGCGCGGCCGTCGGCGGACTCACGTACTGGCGGTGGCGGCGCCGCGAACGCCCGGCCGCTGGCGGGACAAAAGCACTGACGGCCAGACCGGAAGAGCCGGCGCCAACCTCGGGTCACTTCCGAGGCTCCTCTGGCACTGCGGGCGGCGCTCTCGATGGTATCCCGAGCGGCCGACTCGCCGCCGCGCCACGTGACCCGCACTGCGCTCTGATTGGCCGGCTGTTCCGTCAGCGCCCGCTTCCGGGAGCGCTTTAAGGGTGCAGCCCGAGAATTACCTACCGAGCTTCCTGCTTTCCGGGTGGGGGCCGGGGAAACGGAATGAAGTAAATGAAGGGGTGGAGTAGAGTAATTAGAATAACTAACAACCGGCCTTGGTGGTGCAGTAGTTACAAGTTGGGCTGCTAACCATGAAGTCTGCGGTTCGAAACCCCCAGCCTATTCCGCGGGAGAAAGACGAGACTCTCTACTTTTGTGAAGAGCGACGGTCTCCGAAACCCACAGGAGGTGTTCTGTCCTGTCCGATGGGTCGCTGTGGCTCAGAAGTGACTTGATGGCAGTGAGAAAATAAACCACTGGGCTATCTGTCGCGGGGAAGGGTCGGACAGCGCCATCCCTGGGGTAGCAGCGTCTGAGGGGCGGAGGGAGAGATCCTGGGTCTTGGGGGCCCCTATCCACCTCGGGGAGTCCAGCGCCCCTCTGGATAGCGCAGAAAACACCAGCCTGGCGCGCTCAGGCCGCTTCTGCCCACCGCGAGGGACGCGCAGCAGGGGCGGGGGGTGCGGGTGGGCACGAGCGCATGAAACCGACCCTACGGGTCGTGATCCGCAACCCTTTCTCGTAATCCGTCTGTGATGTTTATTTGTCCCACTTTTCACAAAGCTTTGGAGCGCCACCCATGCGCTTTTACAGTAACACCTAAACATTGTTCCTATTCAATGGAAATGATTACAAAGAATAAACTTCTTTCGGCTTGTAGTTAATGTTGCGAGATGCTGTGCAGCGCCCATAACAGAAGACTGGAGGGTGCTGGGCCATGCGCTCCATAGTTAGTTTGAGCTCAGTGTTGCAGCCAGTGTGTCCATCCGTTCTTCAATTTACTTGCAGAGCCACAGGTAGGTACAGAAAGAGCCACACGTGGCTCTCGATCCAAAGTTTGCGACGCCAGCTCTCAGGTCTTCCTCTTACTAGCTGGAGACAGGCAAAGGGAGAAGAGGTGATGACAGGCATCTGTAACAAACGGAGAAGTGGAGACGATCTCCTCCACAAGCCTCTTCAACCATGAGTAAGGAAGGTGAGGGGCGGGCATGAGTAAGGAAGGTGAGGGGCGGGCGATAAGACATTTCCGTATCCCTGGAAAAGAGGAGAGAGTGAAAAGGCTGGGTGAAGAAAGGCAGGATGTTCACACTACCCTCACAATGACAGAATAGACTTTTGGGTCTGGAGATCAGGGCACAGCTGGACATCTGGAGTACAGGGGTGAAGGAACACGTATACCTGGAAAAATTACAGAGAAAAAGCCAATAACAGAATATTAGCCAGAAAGCCAGCCAATGGTGGGCGGCCCACCACTAGCACAATGAAAGATTAGGCTCCATAGTCTACCAAGCCCTTTAGACTAAGGGCCCTTCGGAGTTCTTATCCAAAGTATCTTCTTCTATAAATTCAATCCTTTCTCTGACTCTGGTTTAAATTTTGTCCCGCGCCTGAAATCTTTCTCGAGAGCAGGGCAGGGACCAAGGAGTGGAGAGGCTCAAAACCTTGAGCCAGGAAACACTCTTTTTACTGACCTGATACAGCACACACACTGACAGAGGCGTGGGGGACACGGATATCATTAATATGGACATGTAAAAAGTAAACTCTACATCATTCTGTCATGCTATATCGTTCTTTCCGATTATCAAGTTACCCACTATCTCTGCAATGGGAGAAAGACAGGGCTTTCCAGTGCCACAGAGAGAGTCTTGGACAGTTCTCCCCTGTCCTGTAGGGTCATCATGAGTCAGCATTAACACGATTGGCAGTATCATCCACAAGAACCCTTGAAAGGGTCAAGAGCAAAGAAGAGCTTTGAGGAGTAAGGTGTAGCTCATACACATGTGAAAGCGGCACAGTGAATAAGAAGACAGGATAATTCTGAATGATGGTTTTGCAGGAGTTTATTGGACGTGCTATGGACTGCCCGAAGAACAAACAAATCTGTTTTGGAAAAAGCACAGCCAGAAGGTGTCTTTAAAGCTAGCACGTTGACACACTAGATGAATATATGGATTGTGATAAGAGATGAAAGAGCCCCTAATAAAAGTATTTTTAAAAAGAACAAAAAGAGAAGAGTGTGAGTGATAGAGTAATGGAGAAGAGAGATTGCAGCCTCTCCCCATGTAAAATGTCCTTTAAGATGTAAATACTGATGCAATGTATGTATACATATATTGTGATTAGAGCTGTATGAGCCCCCAATCAAATCTTTTTTTTAAAGTTCCTTTAAGTAAAAAAAAAAAAGCTAGCATGGTGAAACTTTGTCTTCCCTACTTTGGACATGTTATGCCAGTAGAGACCAGTCCCTGGAAAAGGACATCATACTTACTAGAGGGTCCATGAAAAAGAGGAAGACCCTGAGCCAGATGGATTTACACAATGGCTTCAATCATGGGCTCAAACAGCAACAGCCGTGCATATGGTGCAGAATCGGGCGTCTCACTCAGCCATCTGTACACAGGGTCCAATGGTTGAGTCGGAGCAGCTTGTTTTTGTTTCACATCAATGTTTCTAGGTGACCGGCCTCAGAGAAACCAGAAAGGCTGGTTTTTATTGTTCATTAACTTTCATTTAAAACTTGCTCTTTCAGAAAACAATCAAAATAATAACCAGATATTGCTTTTAAAACTAATGGGCATACTCTGTTTTCAAAACTTAAGGGTTCTAGCCATGACAAACTATTTTGTGATTGTCTTATAATTGCTTTATTGCAAATGTTAACCAATCATACATTTTGTTCACTATACCTGATAAAATCATACATAAGCATTTTGAAAATCTCAACCAGAGCACTCATTTACTCAATAATGATATGCACCAAATCAAAGAAATGATATGCTGTAAAGTGTCTATTAAACCTGCATATCTATTTGTTAATTGTGTTCTGAGGTGTTTATTTTTCACATCAGCTCATTAAGAAAACATGGAAGGAAGCAAAATTATAAAATAATCACTTGCATCCTGTCACAGAGTGACAACCACAGTTAACATTCTAGTAAACTTTCTTCCTTTCAGTTGATCAATTTGTTAGTATTTTCAAATGGTTGGAATCATACTAAATCTGAAATTTTCACAAAAATTTAAAAACAAATAATCTACATTAACATTTACATGTTATAAGTTTGTTAGATTCCCTTGAACCCAACTCGCCTTAACTAGTAGAGTCTTGTTAATCATCGTGGGCCTTTCCAATTAGATCTTTTTAATAAATCAGTAGCTTACCCAAATAGTGTAATAAATAGTAGCTTACCCAAAGCTGTTTTCCATGTTTGAGATTATTTCCTTGAAATAGTTTCTAAGAAGAAGGATTAGTGAATAAATATGCAAAAACATTTTTTAAATTCTTAAAATAAGAACAATGTGGAATTGTAAGCACTAATAAGCTTAAGAGGAAATAGTACAAGCAATCAGAAGAACCAGACAAGCATGTTATCCAATACTACCATTATAGCTGGATTTTTATAAAATGTAATATCAACATTGGAAAGCAGAGGGCATAATTATCCTATTTGCAGATAATAGGATTTTATTCCTAGAAAGCCCAAGAAGCTAAATTTTTTTTTTTTTTAAAAAGGAGGTGGGGAGGTGGGGAAACCCAAAACTAGAATAAACAGAAACTCAGTAAGGTGTGTGGATTAAGGATTAATATGCAGAAATCAATTGTTTACATATAGACAAACTACAAATAATTAGAATAATGAATAGCAAAACCACATTTACAATGGAAAACAAACAAAAAAACCCAGAACACCCCAGAATTTTTAAAAATCGTTCTATTGACACACAATTTACATATAATACAATTCAATAGTTCAATCATATTAAAAAGAATTATACAATCATCACTACAATCAGTTCCAGAATACATTCTTCCTTCTTGTATTTATTGTTATTAGCTCCCCATCTCTCCCCAACCTCCCCCACCATACCCACAAGAAATCATTAACCCAGTTACTGTCTCTGTAGATTTACCCTTCCCTCCTATACAGGAAAATATACCAAAAAACCACCAACAACCAAAAAATAATGCAGAGAAAAACCTCAATAGAAAAGAAAGCAGGAAATATTAAAAACTAGAACAAAATTTAAATGGGTCAAAAGGGAGATAAAATGATAAAGTGTTAGATTTTATCGTAACTGTATCTGCAACAACCCACTTTCCAATGCTCTCTGCATGGCAGCAAGGCTGCTCCCATCGCCGGTTTATGGTCAGAGGGGATTAACCAGAGGCTTATTCCTTGTGTATTTCCCAGTCACTTTTTAAAATGCAACAACTGTAAAATGGTCAAAAGGAAGATCAAATGATAAAGTATAACATTTTAACCCAACCATATATGCCACAATCGAGTGTACAATGCCCTCTGTCTGATAACAATGCTACTCACATCCCTATACTATACTCATAGGGGACTCAGGTTTCCACTATCATCCATAGCCTCCTGGAAACCTGATGTTTACAATATAAGCTCTGACAACATTCCCTCCTTTGGGTTTAGGTTTTACTATTTAATGTGGTTTTGCAATCAATGTGGACTAGTTGATGCATCACTTAAATAACTGCTTATTTGAAGACCAACCTTTAAGGTCCCAAACACTCTTCTTTTTGATAGCCAGGCACCATCTAGTTTCTTCACCAGACTTTGCTACAGTACCCACGTCTTCAGCAATCTCTTCAAAAGGGCGAGCATTGAGCAGGGTCATAAGAACTGATTGTTCTTAGATTGGGGCTAGAATTAAGTGTGAGCCCCAAATCCATTCATATATCAATGGTCTATATATGTCTCTGGTTTACGTTAGAGACCTTATTATCATTTTTTAAAACTCATTTTATTGG